AAGGGATTTTGGGTAATTTTGAGTTCTGAACTTCTCAAGACCTATATTTTCAGAAAATATCAAAATTAGCCGGTAGTACTTCCATTGCCACCTCCACCCCAAAATAGCCTCTAATCTGCTGGCCTACAAGGAACGGAGTTGGATTCTTCGACCGACGGTCGCACGACACAGTGCCTGGCTTAAGTCTGCACCGAGCTTTAAATAACTGTCTAGGGTAAAATCTGATAGAAACCCTAAAGAAGAAATTACAAATATCATATGGTTTGCTCATCTAAAAAGTTAAGAACTTCCGAAGGAAATAAAGATTTTAAAAAACCAGTTCCTGATTATATTAGGCTGTTTTCTACCAAAATTATAAATGAATTTCCAATTTTAGAGCATATAATATAGCGATAGAAATCGATAACTTATGCAAGCAGTGGTGGCTCAGGAAATTTCCGACAAGCGTCTAACATGTCCGACAGGGGATCTGAATTACCAAGAGCCTCGGTCAGGGTTCGAATAAAAATCCCTGATAGGGTTCTTGAGGATAGTTTTTTATGGCTTAATAATGGACTAAATTGTGTTTTAAACAATAGGGATTGGCAATCTAAATTACGTTGTTTGATAGCAAAACTATTATTTGAGGATTTCGTTGTGGCGACTGGGGTTCCAGGCCTGCCTTTCCGCTAGCGCCACCACTGTAAGCAAGGAACATTTGTTTCTACTTCTATTTTTAATTAAAAGTTATAACTTAAAATAGAATTCAAATATTTATTTTTTTTTCAATTAAAGTCTTGTGGCGACACTTCGATTTATTTAGGCATAGCTTTGTGAAATATATAGCGTTTTTATAATAGTCATTAGGTAGTTTTCGCCTCACGACTTTAACCTTAACGTTAACGGATGTCGTCATCATTTATTATTTTGCGTTGTGGAGTACGTTAACTTCAGGATTTTACGTGCTTGACGTACGTTTACGCATGCGTATTTCGATTTGTTTACAAAATGGACGGAGCTATCGTGTTGCATGTTGGATACTAACGATAAAGTTAAGGTTAACGTTATGTGGCGAAAACTAGCCTTCCTATTGAATATTTTAGGCCCTCTATAAGAAAAACAATAATTTAATAATTATGTAAAAAAATGGTTTCACCTGATTTTTTATTTATCATTTTTTCAGAGTGAGATGTATGCTGGTGCAATAATAATCCAACAAGTGCTGGGATGGCCACTTTATCTATCCGTCTGCCTTCTTCTGTTCTTGACAGCTATTTACACGGTCGTCGGTGGCCTAAGAGCAGTTATTTACACTGACGCACTGCAAACAGTTGTCATGCTCTTCGGCGCTATTGTTCTGACGATTATAGGTAAACAAGTAGAACTAATAATATTAAAGATCGAATCGGTTTAAATCCATATAATTGGATAAACATAAACCAATATTCGACTTCCATAGGTTAACCATGGAGCTATAAAATTTTATAGCTCTATGGGTTAACCGACCTAAACGATTTTGTTATAGCTTTTATCGAGATCGGAGGGATGGAAAATCTGCATCTTAGATACATGACAGCGATACCAAACACAACTCAAATTTGGGGTAACACAACTTGCGGCGTGCCCGGAGAAGAGTCCTTTCATATATTCCGAAGTGCGCAAGATCCATCGTTGCCGTGGCCAGGAGTGATATTTGGAATTCACATATTATCCGGTTGGTTCTTTTGCACAAATCAGGTAAGAAAAAACAAAAAGAAGTTTAGTTAAAACAGGTTAGTTAGTTTACCAAAACCAGTTTAACAGACTTGTATACGCCCTTGCTTATAGTAGGCATATTTTTCGACATGATGCAGTCGACATACATGTTGCGCACGTTTTTTATTTTATTATCAGGTCTTCCCAAAATATATACTACTACGATAACAATTTATATTAACACTATTTTAGGTAATAGTTCAGAGGACATTATCTGCCAAGAATGTGACGCACGCAAAAGCTGGTTCAATCATGGCTGCCTATTTCAAAATTCTTCCAATGTACCTGATGATATTTCCCGGAATGATAAGTAGAGCTCTTTATACTGGTAAGTCCTAAAGCACTGTCCAAACTATTAAATTCAGTTGACAAAAGCAGGTAAACGTGTCTAAATATGGTCATAATGACATCACACTATTACCATATAAAGGCACATCATGACTGTATATTATGGGTACACACCTTTTGGTTTTTGTCAATGTAAATTTTATAATTCTGAGAGCTTAAAACACTCTCAGTATAAAATTGATTATTTGTTACAATTTTAATATCTTTATCCTCATGATAGTAATAAAATTTGTAAATAAATATCAAAAATAATGTAAAAATATTGTTTTTAATATTATGGTTATTAACTTTCAGATGAAGTAGCTTGTGCTGATCCTTCGACGTGTGAAGCTATTTGCGGTGTTCCTGCAGGTTGCAGCAACATCGCATACCCAAAGCTTGTATTAGAGTTAATGCCAACAGGTACAGGCCACTAACAGTCATAATATAACAGAAATAAATCGTATATTGAAACACTGAAAGCTTGTATTAGAGTTAATGCCAACAGGTACAGGCCACTAACAGTCATAATATAACAGAAATAAATCGTATATTTGAAATATTGAAACATTATATGTTTTATTATTGATTTAATTAACTAGGAGATAATGAAAGAGATAGGCCTAAGGTTTACTGACTTTCCGACCGACAAACAGAATAAATCACTGAAAGTCGATATCATTCATTCGCTATAGTTTGCAAACACTGGCTTAACAGATGAGCTCTCACCAGGGGCGGATCCAGATATGTCTAAAAGGGGAGGGACCGAAAGTTTGGCCGATCGAGACAACACTACCCTACTAGGGGGTCTGGGGGCATGCCCCCGCGAAATGTTTGTGTTTGCCCGACAATAACATTTGAGGCGTTCTGGGCTAACATTTTTTTCTTTTTCTTTCTTTATTTCTTTTTTTTCTTTTTCCCCCTTTTTTTACCTTCCAAAGGGGAGGCCGAGCCGCCCCCCTCCCCCAATTCGCTTCTGCTCACTAAGGCAAGAGGCCTCAGTCGTTAAAGGAGCATTCTGACACATGCATGGGCTGAGTGGGGCCTTTTTAAGGAGCATTAAGTCTTTCGTAAAACATCAAATATGCGGGAAAAGCTTTTTCTCCAGGGTAAGGGCCTGAAGAGTCTTCAGACCTTTACGCCTCTGTCTACGAATATTAAGTATTAATTTTGTCGATTATTTTTTTGACAAAGGTTTGAAGGGATTAATGATGGCAGCCATGTTAGCAGCTCTCATGAGTTCACTGACATCAATTTTCAACAGCGCTAGTACTGTCTTCACTATTGACATCTGGCTCATGATCAGAAAAAAGGCTTCGGAAGCAGAGTTGATGATAGTCGGCAGGTAAGGTATTCTTTATATGAATCGTGAGGTAACGTTTTCTAAGCATACATCGTCAGATTGTGTATTCCTGAACACATACATACGCATCAGTCATACACATTTCTTAGCAGTTAAGACATCATAAACAGAAGATGCATGATTATTTAATAGAGGATTAATGTGAAATATTGTACATGAAACATCTTTTAAGAAGCGTAATTTAATTATTTATTTATATTCACCGGATGGTGGGATAACACCTGCTGATATATTTTTTTTTACAGAGTTTGCACCGTCGGACTTGTGTTTGTTAGTGTTTTGTGGCTACCTTTGATTGAAGCTTATGGATCCGGAGAACTATTCGTTTACATCCAGTCCATAGCATCTTTCTTCGCCCCACCGTTCTTTGCTGCTTTCTTATTAGCGGTTTTCTGGACAAGAGCAAATGAAAAAGTAAGTATCATACCACGCCTGCTACGGTAGTTGTTGCTGCTAGCGCAGGTGGGCGTGGTTTAACGTAGAACAACCAGTCGAATACGGCCAATGATAGTGAGCCATGCCACAGCTCGGGCTGGAGCTGCAGCTATAGCTGCATGCACTGTTGTACACGCAACACTTATATTGAGCTGGCGATTGACCTCAAATCTAATAATTTTATATTTCCTTATTCCATGTTTATTAAACAACCACGCCATATGGTAAAAAGATGAACAGTAACTCCATTTGAACCACGGACAACATATAGACGTATCTTTAATTCGATTATTTTGTTTATTTTTTATATATCATTATATCAAATATATTGTTTTGTGCAAATTGTTGTGTTTTATGGATTTAGTTTTAAAAAGGAAAGTTGTAGAATCTAGCCATGGCCGACCACTATTTCAGAGCCAGTAATACTGAGCTATGATTTCTCAAAGTTTACAGACACGAAATGTCACCAGATGACGTAGGCCTACAGACACAAATACTATTATCGATTTATCTCATAAACAGGGTGCATTCTGGGGTCTGATGTCAGGATTATTCATCGGATTTACGCGCCTGATCCTGGATTTCATATTCTCACCACCTGCGTGCGCAGAATTAGACGAACGACCGAATATTATTAAGAATTTTCATTATCTACACTTCGCTTGTTTTTTGTTTGGAACAACTCTGTTCTTCACTATTGTCGTTAGTCTTCTCACCGAGCCTATTCCCTTACAAAAGGTATGTTATCTTTTACTTATTTACTGTTTTATTTAAAAGCTTCAATCAAAGGTAGCCACAAAACACTAACAAACACAAGTCCGACGGTGAAAACTCTGTAACAAAATATATCAGCAGGTGTTAATTGCACATTTAAAAAAATGAAATAACCCGGATATATGAAAACGGAGCATGGAACAGAGCAGCAGCAGCAGAGGGAACTGGAAATTGCTTCAGGAGGGCTTCATCCAGAAGTGGATGAACATAGCCTAAACACAATAGTGTATTTTAGATGTAAATTTAAGCATGGTTGTTCTCATTTACAGTTAAATGGTATGACTTGGTGGACAAAACACTTAAGGTATTCGATTACTGATGATTCGAAAGAGGAAAAGCTTCATGAAGACGTGAAATGCTCTCCTGCAGTTCCCAACAATTGTGGCGAGAAAGAAAATAGCGAGATGGTGGAAAGCAAGAGCGAAAATAGAGAAGACACGTCATCTACAGAAAAAGGTACTTTTTATTTATTTTTTATGTTTTGAACCAGGGGTTGCGCCAGTGGGTGGCGAGGGGGCCGGGGTCAGGGCCCACCTTCGGGGAGAGATAACCCCCGTCGGGGAGAAAAAGCACAATTCGTTGGAGCGAAAAAAAAATTATAAGTATTTTTGACATATTAATAGACTTTAAAAACCGATTAAATAAGCCTTTGAAACCCCTAAAATTGTCAGAATTTTCGAGGGCTCTGCCCCTTGGACCACTTTCGAAATCTTCTAATTGAAGCTCGACCACGCCAACTTTGCTTTCGTCGGGGAATTCTGACCCCTCGTCGGGGGAAACGACTCCCCGTCGGGGACCTTGGCCCCTCCCTACGTCGGGTAAATCCTGGCGCCACCCCTTTTTGAACTATGAGTGCAGCCGCTGCTATGTTACTCTGCTGCTGCTACTACCCAAGTGATAATAATATATATTTTGTTTTCTTTCAGAATCGATTTTGTCATTATTATTTTTATTCGTGTGTGGTGTCTCATCGAAACGTCTAAACTCTGACGAGCCTGAAGTATCATATGAAGATCTCCAAAAAGAAGACACCGACGGAGTATCGCTGTACGAGGACCCTAAATGGGTTCGAGTTATGAATATCAACGTGGTTATTTTGATCGGCGTGGGAGTCTTCTTCTATGGTTTTTATGGCTAAGTTTATGCATGGAGGAATTAGTTTAGACTATTTCCTCCATGGTTTATTATTAATCGTCAGCAATAGTAGTGACAGTCAGCATAACTATAGTGACGTCATATATAGTAGTAGTAAAATTATATAAATGACGTCATAATATTAGTAACATCATAGCGGTGACTGTATATAAAATCTATGTAGCATCTGAGTTTTTTTTTTATATACTGTTTTCAAACCTTACCATTAATGATCCAATAACCGATTTCGATAATAAGCGCCTAGACTTTCGCTAATCTTCGCTCTAGAATAAGAACAATTGTGTTTACTACAATATAATATCTTTTAAATTAACGTCGCGGTAAATATTTGAAAGAATGTATATTCAACGTGCTTTGATGCTACGTAATCATTAGGATAATAAATAATCGTTTTCTCGAAAATACCGGTAAATAATACGGATTATCGATACGTTACTGATCGAATCCTTAACCCAGTCAAACGAAAATCTCAACAGTTTTTTCAAGGATGTTTAATTACTGAAGGACGCTGTCTCCAAGACACGAACAATGTCAGTAAGCCTCTATGGTCAGATAGAGAAAATCAAACGTATTATAAGTATAAAGTTAATTGCAATAAATAAATATATTTCAAATAAGGGCTGCTTATAAAAAATAAGTGCTGCATTTCTTGAAAAAGCACTACAGCCTTAATTGTATAAACGCCGTGGTGCTTATTGAAAGATTTACGTTATAGCTCAATGTACAATTATCTTTGGTTATAGGCCTGATTACACTTATTTACTCTTCATTTTTATAATTGACTAGTCTAGGCCCTCTATTGTATCAACTTTAACCGTAAATATTTGTCCGCACTATTAAATTACATGTGACAAGTTTGTGTGATGTGCCCAAAAAAATAATGGGTGTCATATTACACTCAATTATGGGCATATCGCATTTATTTGTGATATAAAGTTTGATAGAATTTGATAATGTGGACAAGGTTTTAGTTTGGGTAGCACAATCTCTTCTTTTTATTAAAAATACATTTAAGAACATAGTTTGGTAGTACAATTAATAAGTTTAGTGTAAAAGTGAAGTGCGTAAAGTTCCGTAGATAGTACCAAACTTAAGTAGGTAATAATTTGAATATGAGTGTTATATCCAGTTATACAATTGGTTATAATATAAGTACGGTTTTATGCATTATGTAAAAACCTATTTATCAAATACGGTACCGGTACTTACTATTAAGCTCTGATCTTTATGAAATAGCGCTAAACTAGATTGGGTGCTATTGTATGTAATGTTATGCTGTTTTGGTTTACACTAGTGAAATGTTATCGAATATTAATAATAATGTAAATAAGTAAATACTGTCCAAGAAAAGTTTGTTGACTGTTTGATTTTTGAGTATTTAGTACGGTACCACTGTAGTGTTCTTTGTTATTCATGTGGAGTATTAAAGTAACTGTAAAGCCATCATTGTACCTGGGCCTATATATATAGGCCTATAGGTTTTGAAATTAAATATGGGATACAAGTATGAAGTGCGAGTTGAGGGACATACGTCATCTGCTTCATTGTGGCATTACCATGGAAACATGGAGAATTCCAAAGAGTTGCTTTAGTCATGCAAATAGATGAAAATGCTTTGTCTCTACCTTATACGACACAACATCGTAAAAAAAAACATTCAATGAACGATCATTTTTATCCTCGACGTTGCGGATAAACTACCCGTACGGTTAAAGTAAAAGGAAGATGACAAGCTGGCTATGTGAACACAACGAACGTCACACGACGAATCCAACTCCGCTTCCTGTGAACGCTAGAAGACGCGACGCCGCCGTCTGCTGAACTGATTGTCGGTGGCAGCAAAGAGTATAAATAGAACAAGAGAGCAATGTCCCGTTCGTAAAAACATCACGCCTGTGTAGGACGCCCACTAACGGTTGTATATTCTTTTTATTATTCATGCCAGCGCTGCGCAGCGCGGTAGAAGTACGCCCGCTATAAACTCAGTAAGCAGAAAACAAAGATCTTATAAACACAAGATAGCGTTCTCCGCGATTTACGCGTGCAAATTCTGTAATAAGGCATGAATGGCGCCCTCTTGCTAAATTGGAAACTTTTGACCCTTGACCGCTCTGACCATACCGTACACCGCGCGACTTATCAATCCTGTGAACAGCAGAACAGGAACAATCTCAGATCCATGGCAACAGATAGGACGCCCTCTTCCAAAACTGATTACTTTTTCTCTTTGGTATAATAGCGCATGAATGGCGCCCTCTTGCTAAAAAAGGGGTCCGGGTAACAGGCCTACATTAAGCGTTTAGTGTAAGTACCGTACAAAGGTACATGATTAGAATCAAATATAGAATTTAAGCAAACAAAAACAACATATCCTAAACAAGTCTCCGTTATATTAGGCCTATATTGAAAAAAAATGTAAACTTTTTAAAAATTCGGCCAAATTCGGCCAAATATATTTTGGCCGTGACTTTTCAAACGATACGGCCAGGCAAATTTTTATACGGCCAGATTTGAGGAATCTGGCCGTCAAAAAGGCCAAATGGCAACCCTGCTCTCAATGAGCGTTGCGTTCTTCATAGAATCGCGTCGGCCGACAACCGTATGGTGTTACTAGTGGATGCCCGGCTTTACTTGACGAGAGAAAATGGTACCACACAACACAAGCTAATGAACAAGTGAGTGAATACTTAATTCTGATTGTGATGTGGCAAAGATGTCTAAGTGCAGGAGATTTCTTGGTATATTATATAGACCTATATATGGACACATAATATAAAAATGAAATATATTGTGTTTATCTTAGTTATAAATTTTTCTGGTGGGCCTTACATCTGCTGTTAACAACATTTTTGATATTTCAGGTTTAAAATGATTAAATACTTAAATTGTTACCTTATAGTTATTACATTACACTTACTATGTAGACTTATTATTATATTATATTAATATAGGGCCTATTATTACTCTTTTTTTATATTTGAAAATTTAAAAGTACAAATTTCACAAATAGCTATTGAAAATTAAAATCAGTAAACACATTAGAAATCTATTATATGGAATATATCATCATTATTGGTATTATGTTAGTCTATGTAATCGGCTATTACTACATTTTTTTTCCGGTGCAATCTTTGTACAAAGTAAAGCCCATGGGTGGCGCCAGGAATTCCCTGACGCTGGGTCCAAGCTCCCCGACAAGGGGTGCACACTCCCTCCCCGTCAGGGAAAATTGTGTTGAAGTTATGGTATTCTTTATTTAAAATGATAACTTGATAGAAACTATGCGACTAAGAGCCCCGTTGTCGGGGGTACTAACCACCTATAGGAGGTATACGATAGCGTATAGCAATTGTAAGGAAACCAAGCTTTAGGCACATTGCAATGGTCCGAGAGTATAGACACCTTTTTCTGTTTGAGACCCAGTATCGCCAAAACGAAGCTCCAAGACAGGTAATGCTGCTTTATCGGTAAGGTAACCGTGATCCTGACGTGGAACACCATCGTTGACGTCACAGTTACAACGGTAGGTAGGGTTGTCACAAGTTCCTGCAATATAATAAACACAAATGCCTATTTAGAACATCAAAATTCATAAAATCAAACTTGACGAACATCTTCCAGGCTGTAATGCAATGCAGATTGTATAACCTTTACTGTATAGTCTAATGATAGCAAGAGAGTAGGCCTACATTTGCATTTGAGTGGATGCCTGTATTATTTATGTAGTTTGACAATAGCCTGGTTTTCACGAGAGCCCTAGTATCCAGATCGGGAGCTAACCGTTAGCGCTAACCGTTAGCACCTGTGTGAGAACGTCCGATCGGTTAGCGCTAACCGTTAGCGGTATCCGGATACGGCTAACGGTTAGCAAGCGCTATCGGTTAGCACGTTGAGCGCGTTTCTATCATCAACCAATCACACGTACGCGTTTACAATTTCCAGTTTCTTATTGGTCAGTTATTCGATCATCATATTCTTGGTATCCGGATCGGGATCTTCTCGAGAAGAACATAGCCAATAATGTTTTTGAATCTGACTATAGTAATGTTTATTAGCAATCATTATTCGTAATAAAATGATTGTATTAAGTGATAGATTTATAACGCGCACATTGTTATGACCTGTGTATATAGCGCTTATTGCATGTTGTTATATACATTCGCAAATAAAGTTTGAACCTCCGATGAGAACCCGAATCTTAAACGCTGCGCAAACCGCTTAAAATGGAGTTGAACTTACTCGTCATCCAACATGCGCATCCTGTCGTTCCCGTTGGAACTCCTCCCCAGTTGTGCATAATTTGTCCATCAAATGAGATCCAATAGTGATATTTGCCTTCATATATGCCTCTGCCATTAAACAGTGACCCAATGCATGCGTACTGTGAGATAGATGAAATAAAGAATCGATTATTAGATTATTAGTTTTTTATTTGTCTTCTCTTAATGGTGTATCTAAGAAAATTACAGGGAGATTTCGCAACCTTACGAAAACGAATACCCTATCACTATCGTCATTACAGGCCCGTACCCAGGGGTTTATGGTTCGGGAGAACCCCCTTTCTAGCAAACCCCTTCTTTTCTGGCGAACCCAGCCCCACTTAAATTTCGCAAACAAATCCTCCAACCGTTACTAATGCACTGCAGACACAACCAGACGTTTTACGCATATCTTCTTTGATAGCATTATTTAGACACATCACAACACCGTAAAAATTCTCCAGCTGTTTTTATTTTGCTGACCTCACAGAGGCTCTGACACTGGACCCCACGCCCAGAGAACGTACGCCTCCTCCTTGGAAGAACTTGGCTCGTGGCCTGTGACATTCGTCCTCAAACATCCTTGAACGAGCCGAATATGATCCTTGATTCTTGAATCGCCTACGTTATACAGATATGCTACTGTAGGGGAATGATTGTCTAAAAAATGAAGACATAGGCCTACAATCCTGTGGCGTATGCAGGATTTACGGTAGTGGGTGCGTAAGAATCTACACCACCTCAGCCCAATCATGATTGGGGCTTTAAGTGAGAATATTTTTAGAATATGGACCTAAAAATGCCCGGAAATTGCACTCTCATACTTTTAAAATCTTACCGGTACTCTAATTTTAATGATAAAAATAATATATCAACGACACAATACAACAATTCTTTTTCTTAATACAATATAGAAAGTGCGACCGCATCGTCTGCACCTCCTCTGCATCCACCTTTGGTATCCGCTTTTGTTTTCGGATTGCGGGAACTCCCTATTTTGTCGCATCGATGCCTGATTTGCCGCAACTGTGATGTCGTGGGCCCTATCCTCATCTTCATCTGTGAATTCTTACGCACCCCCTAATAGTAACTATTAAACTATAAATAAGGCACTAGCTTTAACATCAATCTGTATCATGAAGTGTATTAACGATCATTAAATCCATGTTGATTAAATCATCTAAACTACTGGATAAACCAAGCTTGTTTTTAATTTATGTTTTTTAAAATTCATGTACAAAGTATGGGCGTCTTTTCTAGATGGTTTTCTTTTTATGGCTAATTTTGCAAAAAAGGGGAGGGATCTTCAATGGGCTTCATCATAATAACTAATAAAATTCAAAAATATGACGATACTTTTCAGAAAGATCATCCTATTTTTTAATTTTATTGTTTCAACGAT